TGAGCTGGCTTGGCAGGCTATGCCACTGTTTGGGAAGACAAGCTTGTTCTCCAAGGTGTGGCAGAGCTGCTGAGTCACAGCAGGCCCTAGCAAATGCTCCCCCTGGCACCTGTGCAGTGGGGTCCATCAGCCCCCACCGGCTTCAGGAGGTGATAGCAGCTATGGCTGAGGGGTTAATGGTGCACAGTGAGGAAACATGCTCAGCATTGGTTGATGGGGTGATGGTGACTGAGCAGGCTGATTATTTTTTTTATTTGCATACCACTTCATGTTGCGGAAGTGTCTGTCTCGAATGATTAGAGAAATCCATCAGAAGTGGCTGCCTCTGGAAGTGCCCCAGGCAGCACCCATCACAAAGTTAAGAGACTGACATTTGCAATACTAGCAACAACCTATTTAGTAAAACACTATCAAGCTTCAGGTCACAGACCATGACTGTAAGTTCTCAGAGTTTCCCTGCCAGCAATTAAATATTACAGCCACCAAAGCAGGCTAGGGCTTTTTTTTCTGATTTGCCTGTAGTCACAGATATAGGAATGGTGTGGAGGTCTTCAGATTTGCACACAAGTCCCAGGGACAAAGGACTGGGATTGCAGTATTTTGCCTCTGTTTCAGCTTGCTGTGTGACATTGGGCAAGCCACATAATCTCATTTCCCATAACTGTTCAGTAGCGCTTTGAGATCCTCCTTGTAGACATGGGGTGTTTCTACCTTGAAGCAGTAGCACCCTAGCATTACCAACTTATATGGTAATGGTAGTATCACCTGGACAGTTGTAGTTTTAAAAAATAATTACACAAAATCAAGATTTAGAAATATATTGACAGGAACTCTGTAAGACAAAAACAGTGTCTGTGATGTCCCAAACCTTTCCAGAATTGAGGTGGCAGTGATAAAGCCCTTGAAAATCAGATGTGTGGCAGCGCAAACATCATCCTGCCCCTTCTGAGCTGAGATCCATCCGTTACATCCAAGGCATATTTGCTCAGGATATAGGATGTGTAAACAGCAGCACAGTTTAATACTACTTTGTTATAAAAACAAGCTTTATGCTTACAGAAACTGTACTAGGTAGTTAACTATTTTACTATATTAGCTGTTCTACACTCAAACTATTAATTCCATCTCCAGATACTGCCTCTGATGCTTGCTAAAGGTTATAATCTCATCATCCTTTTAACAACCTAGTTGCTTGTCCTGAGAATGCCACTTAACATTGTACTCTCCTTTATCCATTATTTAAACCCATAGACCATTCTTTCCTATTATATCCCTGCTCACAGTTTCCAGTGCAATGTCTTTCCTACAGACTGTCATTGACATCAACCAGAACTGCCTCTACACACTTTATATTGTGAAATCTCCATTTGCTGTAGTCAGTGCAGGTACTCACTGCTAGAACATGCAAGTGGCATGACATAACACAAAACAAAACAAAAAACCAGATGCAGTGAAAGAAAAGAAAAAGGAGACAGCTAAAATAAATGTGGAACAAATACAGTCTAGAGAGCTTTCTGGACTGACCACCAGCTGAAATAATGAAAAAAGAAACAATGTCCCATTTCATGTTGATTGTTTTGAGGATAAACATTTTTTGTACATTTTACTAAATAAATCTGCTTGCATGAAAAAGAAAACAAAACCAGGCTCTACACTCAGAGATCTAACTGCGCAACTCTGGATCAGCAAATACATTTCATGCTGCTGTGTTTTTACCATATGTTTGCAACACATTAAGATCACGTGCATCCATAATTGCTGCAGCTCTACTAGCTTATTCAGGCAGAAAAAGGTGATCACGTGTCTGAGCTGGCAGACAACAATCTCCTAATGGAAGCAACCCACTGGGGCCATGGCTTGAGGAGGGCTTCTGTTTGTGAAATAAGGATGTGCCATCATATGCTGAAGGGTAGTGTGAGCAAGGATAGCTTAGTAAGGTAAACCGTGCTGTGACTCAATCTTTGGGAGAACCAGTAATGCCTACAGAAAGCACAGGAGCCAAAGCTTGGTCAACTGGTAGGAAAGATGTAGGAACAAAAAGAAAGCTGACACTGTGTCCAGCCTTTTATGCAATGGGCATTAAGAAACCAAGCATCTGAGCAGCTGGCAAGACTTTCTGCTGTGTGAGTGCCTGGACAAAGCACAAAAGCCAGGACATGTTAGCCTGTTTGCAGCTACTATAAATCTGAAGACTACCTATCCTTTAGAAGCCAGCATCTTAACCTGTCTTTCAGTATTTAAAGTGATAGAAAACCAGAGGAATCCGAAGCAGCCTATATCCTAATTCAAAGTTCATGAACACCATACCAGTGTGAAGTAGAAGATGTGGACTCCCTCTGATCTGCAGGCAAAATTCAGCCCTTACTCTGAAAAGGAGGGTACAGAGAGAGAGAGAGAAGCATGCAGCTTTACCTATTACATCTTCCCTTTGTCTACAAAACAACTTGAAGATGTTTTATGCAGACAGACTCCCATTAAGACCCTACTCTTGTAGCCCAAGATTTGAGCCCATTTCTAGCTTGACTCACTGTTTCTCTCCTGAAAGAGACGCTGCTTTCTGCAGCAGCACCCTCGATATTTATGTCTCTTTGTAATATCAATAATTTTGTTTTAATGGGAACAGATCTGCTGAGTTGGTCATTGATTTGCAGTAAGATGTAAGTACAGCTGTATTGAGCTTAACTTTGTATGTCAGATGATCATGTGAAAGATGTGAAGATACATTATTCAAAGTGGAGTTGCTTTATCCTAGACTGCTGATTCATAATGAAGTCAAAGAAATGTATTGTTTTCCCTTTCCTTTAGTATATGAAATAAACACAGCGATCTGTGCTACCCTTCAGTTTTCATGTGCTCTACATGAGGTGCTCACAAGAACTACCCTATCACTAAACTATCTTTTCAGCTCTGCTGTTTCTTCCCCCATTGTAAATAAATAAGTCCTTGCCTTAACCATAACATACCTGTTTCTTTTCTTAAACATATTATGACCAGTAACTATCAGAACGAATATATGTAAATATTTAAAAAAACACCTCATACATGATTCGCGCTTACTCGTTATAAAACAGAGCTCTCTGCCACCATTCACAGAAAGCACACACTACTCTCACAATGGGCAAGGCAAATGCTAGCATGACAGAAAATTAGCTTTGGTGAGCCTGTACTGCACCATAACCCCCTTCAGCTACTTGCTTACACACATTGATGAAGAGCCGCTAACGCCATGCAAGCCTCCGAGAAAGGGAGTGCTTTTCAAGTCCATGATGGCAATTGATAAGAACAACAGGCTTTCCTGGCTCTGTTACTATATTAGGAAGAGAGGCGGAGAAGATGCGGGAGCTGGGACTTGCAGACAGGCTGTCTCCGTTCACTGTAGGAGGCGTCTCCCTCCTCTACACGGTGGTCACTCCATGCACCTTCATTCACAGATAAGCAGACATTTTACATACATAAACATCACTGCCAACCCTAAACTTTTTTAAACAACCCCAAACACACAAAACATAGAGGGCAGAACTGCCATGCTGTGTCAGGCATGGTGGCTCAGGCTCAGCAGAGCCCCCTTCAGCTGCACCTTCCCTCCTGGGAAAACCGAAGTGGGTCTGGGCAGGGGGGACCAGAAATAATTGCAGGTGGCGACCAGGCCAGTACTGCCGCCCCAGGGTGCAACCAGACATTTTTGGCACTCCCTGCCTTGCTGGTGCCACCTCCAATCAGCAGTCCCCCCCTCAGCTCTTCAAGAGCCATGCGCAGCAGAAACCAGCCAAAAACACATTGAAACCTAACAAAACCACACTGAAACCCAGCAAAACCAGTTGAAACAAGACAAGGTGGTCACCTGATGGTGGCTCTGCTGCCCACAGGCAAAGTGCCATTGACCACGGCCGGGTGGTCTCCTCCAGGGACAGGGATGTCATCCTGCCAGTGACATTTTGAAACCTGGAGGGCTGCCCTGAGGGGTGAAGGGGCAACAGCTGGAGGGGTCACTGCCATTTTGGGCAAAGGTAATGTGGGAGGTTTTGTGAGGGAAGGCTGCAGGCACCCTGGCTGCCCAGAATGCGTTCGTGCCTCTAAGACACAGGGCACAAAACACCGCATCATAGGTGTTTTTTTTGCCAGCTGTGGGGCACACAAGGCTGCCTGTTCAGCTCTTTGTCACGCAAGCTTTCAAGCAGAGGCCCTTGCCAGTGGGGTTTGGCCAACTCGGGTTGCAAAGCTGTGGTCCCAGCCAGCAACATGCAGAGAGGGTGGCCAGGGCGCAGCATCTCCCCTGGTTTTCACACACGTTTATTCTAGTCCACTTCAGTTAAAACATACTGCCGGTTCTTAGGTGGAGTTGGAAGCCCCATGAGCACCTGCATGGAGGCTCAGAAAAAGAAAAACCCTGCTTTTGGAGACTGCGGGCATCGATTCAAGTACCTCTCGCATGCTAACTGAGTGCTCTACCATTGGAGCTGACTCCTCTCCTCACTAGTGCCTACCTCCCCCCAGCCCGCCACATCGCGCCCCCTCCACGCACTCCACCGACTTGTTGTCAGGCAGCTTGTCGCCCGCGCCGCGCCCTGAGGGGCGTGGCTCCGCGCGCTGGCCAATGGCGAGGGGCAGGGGGTAAGGCTACAGGGAGATCGCCACCAGAGGCGCCCGACCCTCCCACCACGGCCTCCTGCTAGGTCTGAGCGCCTCAGCTCTGGATTGGGCGGAAAGGGTTTATTTTTAAAAGGAATCTGCTCTTTCTATTGGGCGAGAGAAACGCCTGTCAGGGTGACGTTGCCTTGTTGCTAAGTCGGGAAGGTGGGACGCGAGATGCACCCGCCCCATGCGTTGACTGGCCAACAGGAAGCCGAGAGCCCGCCCCCTTCCCTGATCGACCCTGTTGCAGTCGCGTAGCTGAGTGACTGACATCCGCCAGACTGCCAGTGAGAGGCCGAACTCCGCACACTGCCCAATAGAAAGGCGCAAGCCGAGGAGGAGGGTGGTGCCGGGGCGGTATGATTGGCAGGCGGGGCGGAGCGAAATGAGGGCTCGCAGGAGCTGATATGTCCGCCATCTTGGAGCGTCGGTGATGGTGGCAAGCGGTGGCTTTCCCGCCTGAGCGGAGGCAGCCTGGGGCCTGTGGTGGGGGGACGTGCTTGCTGAGGTATGGGCGGGATAGCAGTGAGCTCTCCCTGCCGCCGCTTCGAGCGGACCGGTGCTCCGGTGGCGGCTCTTCTGTGGCAGAGCGGGCCTGGCTCCTGCTCCCCTCCGCGCGAGGGGCTCCGGACGCTCCTCAGGTGCCGCCGGGCTGGGGCCTGCTGGGGCTGCTGGGGTCTGTCGTATGCGGCGCCCCCTCGCATACGCACCACTGGGCCCAGCGCGCCCGGGCCTGGCGCGACGGGCCACGGCGCGGCTGCGGGGTGCCGCGGGCCTGGGCGCGGTGGGGAAGGCCCGGGCCGCGCTGGAGGGACCCCTGCCCGCCCGACGCCTTTTTCTTTTCGTGGCTGTGGCGTTGGGTCCTTAGGCAGCTGCCCCGAACCTTCTTCCTGGCGTCCGTGGCACTTCATCCCGGGTGGGGAGCCGGCCGGCAGCTGCGGAGGGGCGGGGACGCCGCGGCCGTTCCATGGCAGCCTTTGGGCGCGGAGCGGGTCGTGGCGCGGTTGGGTATGGTGGGCGGTGCATTGTTCCCCGGTAGACCGGAGGAGCCCTAAACTGAGTGAAATGTTTTGTCGAAATGGAGGGAAGCTGTTTGCACTACTCCCTCCCCCGGCAGTCACTTGTGCTGTTGCTGTAACTTACAGAACTTTATCCTGACTATACTGTCATCTCTCAGATAATAAAACAGATAAGTCTTGCTGATAGCTAATTTTGCATTCACTTTCTTTCTTTAAAATCAGTGCTTCAGTTTTCCTGTGAGGACGCTGCTTTTTTTTTTTTTGGGGGGGGGGGGGTGTTTGTGGGGGTTTTGTTTGTTTGGTTTTGTTGGGTTTTTTTTTTAACAACGCACTGTCTTTCAATTAGAATTTTTTAAGAGCATGGCAGTGTTTGGGTAAGCTTTAACTGCTGTTAAGTACATTTTGGCAAAATCTGACTTTGAACTTGCCAGTTCTTTTGTTTTGCTTTAGTCACTAAGAACTTCTTGAACTGTAAGAGGGAATTAGTGTTATAGTCTTGTATGACATAAATACAACTGAGACTAAAGATCATCTCTGTGAGGATAAATGTTATTTAAGTTAGAACAGTAGGATGCTTTGAAATAGGTGTGTTGCTATTTTTAAAAAGTGTTCTGAGTGGAAGAGTACAGAAAACTTACAAGTGGGTGGATAGCTTTAGGAAACGTTCCTTGTGAGACGTTGACCACTTAAAAATGAAAGGTTGTGTTACTGCTAGTGATATTACTTAGGTTTAAAATCTCCTTTAGTGGAAGGAGTCTAAATGTACTCTAACAGTGTGGTGTGTTTGATTTAGGTTTGGGTTTTTTTTTTTGAATTGATGAGTGTTAAGCTGGTTTAAAGTTTCCAGGTAGTGTATAAAGTAACTTGTGAACTGCACGAATACATGTGTGCTTTTTTTTTTTTTTTTGGAATGCTGAAAAATGGGAAGTCTCCCTGTTTCAGTGTTCCAAATAGATTATTGCAGTTATTTGAACTGCAATGTATATTCTCAGTACAACATACATTCTAGTAAGAGTCTATGATTACTTAGCTCTGTGTTATTATGTTTCCAGTAGTGAGGCATGGACTAGTTGTAGTTTGCAAGAGTCTTTATTATACAAATATAAAAGAACACTACAAAATTATCTTTCAATATATAACTTGTTAATGAGATTTCATGCACATGTGGTATCCAGTCTGCATGTTTATTTCTTGACAGTTTGTAGTTCTAAGTACTTGTTTAAGTTCATTATAAGTGATTTTGTTTCTTCCATGATATTGCTTGAATATAGGTGATACTACTTATTTGCTTTCTGTGTGAAAAGCAGAATGAGTATGCAATATTGAATGCTGCACTTTGGGTTACTAAAGGAATTTATTTTCTAATACTACTAGAAGATGTTATTTTGTCCAGAACTGAAGAGGTCTGTTTACAATGAATGTCTGTTTACAGTGAAAACACTGAGTTAAAGTGAAAGTTGTAATTTAGAAATTCAGGAAAAGCAGCCTGTTTAACAGGAATGTCTTTAAGTAGGATAATGCATTATAGCTTGTTTGCAAGCAATTTCAATTTATATGTAAACTGCTGTGACTGTAATATCTTCAGATTTTTTAAAATATAAATCAAGTACCCATTATTATTCCCTTATGGAATTAAAGATACTAAATAGTTTAGATTGTGTGTCTCTTCACAATACTGCCTGCAAACTGTTCGCTCTACTTCTGTTGACTTGCTAAAGTGAAAAAATGTGACTGTTTCCCTCAGAACCCTTCTTGCACTTAGCAGAGGTGATGCTGTAGCCTGTATACAATCAGAGAATCAGATGATGTTCTAAAAGTGAAATTCAAATGAATTAATAAAACAGAATCTGAATTTAGCAGTATTAAAGGGGAAAATTATGTATGTAGTTTTGGTATTAACAGATGGTCAGAGAGTGAACTCTATTGTTAAGGCTTTGATTCTTTATTCAGCTTAAGCTTGAAATGCATGTACTATGAAATGCTAAAGAGCTGCCTCAAAAACAACCAGTATGGGATTGAAACAGTCAGAAGGGAGAAATGCTTTGAAGAACTGTCTGGTCCACTCTCCTTTCTCTCCATTCATGTCCTCTTTTGTCCAAGTGCTTAAAAAGCCTTTAAGTATTTACTTAACTCTGCAGTTAATTAAGATCACACTGTATCAGTATATTGGAATAAGACATTTTCTAGCTTCAGTGTCCCAGCATACTACACAACATCTTCATAGGTAGGAGGCTTGCATATTCACTTCTCACCTATAACTGGGTTAATTTATGGCCTTTGGAAGTTGTGATGGAAACCATGGCTTTTCTGCTTGGGCAGAAGAAGCACTAGTATGAGCATAGTGATCTGTTTCTGTAGTAAGGTAGGATGCCTTAAGCATATTGTCTGTCATCTAGATTCAGCTCTCATAGTAGCACCTTCATCTGTGACCCTTAAGATTTCTGAGTACTCTGTTATTTCATATGCCAGGTTTAGGACTATCCAAATTCTAGAAGACCAGATGTCTGATTGGATTATCCTAAGAGCAAGATGTGGAGCCATTGTTTTTAATGAAACTTTCCACAATAATAAAACAAGTAGGGTTAAATGAGAAATAATATCTTGCTTGTCTCATCTTATTTTGTCAAGTTTGAGGAGGAGAGCAAAGAACTCGGGAAACTATTTAGTGATCACATTTGAGCCTGATATTTTCGGGGTGGGAGGCAAGCCTGAAAGATCAGTCAGCAAATACACAGAGAACATGAACATAATGTTGAAAGCTTTGTGTAGCATGTTTAATTGTTTTTGTGGTGTGTCAGGGTGCCAGCATCTGTTTTAGAAACCATATGCTACTAAGCAACTGAAGTAAAATGTTTTTCTACTCTTGGATATTATATGCAGCTCTTTAGCTAGCTTGGGACACTTCTCAGGAAATGGAATAGACTGAATTGATAGGATCGGGAAAACATTTGGTATAAGCTGTTAACAGCTTGCTTGTTTATGGAATAATTCTTCACGCAATATTGGGAAAAAATATGTTACTGTAAAATACAAGACTCTTCATGACCTTTGTTTATTTAATAACTTCCATAAAGTGCTAAGAAGCATGTTCAAAGTGGTATATGTGATTTGGAGTGGGTGAAAAAGTTCCAAACTAGCCCTTTGACTGTTCTTTCTTCTTGCTGTTACTCTATATAGTCATCCTGTAATCCTGTTAAATGGATGTATCTTTTTCCTCTTCCATGGAACTTAAAAACTTGGAATGCTCAGTGACAGAATCTATGCAGTGTGGAATGCCAGAAGGACCTCAGCGTACAACTGTATGGAACTGTGAAGCTGTAATATACTCTGCTGGAGTGGTGGTATATAGAATCATAGAATTGTTTAGGTTGGAAAAGACCTATAAGATCATCAAGTCCAACTGTTAACTTAACATTGCCAAGTCCAACACTAAACCATGTCCCTAAGCACCACATCTACCCATCTTTTAAATACCTCCAGGAATGGGGACTCAACCACTTCCCTGGGCAGCCTGTTCCAGTGCTTGATAACCCTTTCAGTGAAGAAATTTTTCCTAATATCCAACCTAAACCTGCCCTGGCACAACTTGAGGCCATGTCCTTTTGTCCTGTCGCTTGTTGCTTGGGAGAAGAGACTGACCCCCATCTCACTACAACCTCCTTTCAGGTAGTTGTAGAGAGTGATAAGGTCTCCCCTGAGCCTCCTTTTCTCCAGACGAAACAACCCCAGTTCCCTCAGCTGCTGTTCGTAAGACTTGTTCTTGAGACCCTTCACCAGGTTCATTGTTCTTCTTTGGACATGTTCCCGCGCCTCGATGTCTTTCTTGTAGTGAGGGGTCCAAAACTGAACACAGTATTCGAGGTGTGGCCTCACCAGTGCTGAGTACAGGGGGATGATCACTTCCCCAGTCCTGCTGGCCACACTATTCCTGATACAAGCCAGGATGCTCTTGGCCACCTGGGCACATTGCTGGCTCATATTCAGCAGCATATTTGATATGTTGTTAGGCATGTTGGCAAAATGGCTAAGAAGATCACCTATGAAATTGGTAGTGAGGATTTGGTTAAGGATGTGAAGGGAGGCAGAACTGAGTAAAGAACATGTATGTATGTACAAGGAGAAACTGCCCCATAGTGAGATTTGAGGGTTAGTTAGTTTCCTTGAAGGAACTTTTGAGAACATTCCTATTTCATTTTGAATGAGATGATTTCAAGCATTTGTACACAGTCTAAGTTATACATCTGCAAGGAGATGGAGCACATGGCCTAGTGGTCTCTACCCTGTGTCCACTCGGTCTTCTGGAAAATGAGCACTGAAAGACCATAGGTCAGCTCTTGTCACTTGTGCCAAAAGATACTTTTAGACATGGAGAAAACTCTAAAGCCTTTTTATGATGACCAAGCAGGTCCTGGGCGAGGCTTGTGAAAGGGCCATGTGATTTCCAGTTTGGTAACAAAACATGGTTGGAATTGAGGATGGAAACTTCCAA